AGGAGGAGGGAGGCAAAGGCAAGAGAGCGAAGGGAAGCTCTCTAGGCTTCTCTAAGCTCCTTGGCTGGAGCATGCGCACTGGGAAGGCAGCCAGGGACCCAGGGAGAGAACAACGGAGAGAGATGGAGAGAAGCCGAGAAAGTGTCGAGGCGCGGCGGAGCAGCAGCGTGGGAACTTGGAAAGTCCCGAGGGAAGGGGGCGGCCGAGGAGCCTTGGGCCCCACACGGAGATGTTCGTCAGCCAAAAAAGTCACGTTGATGTTTAAGTAGAGCTAATGAAGAAGCCGGGATGATTATTGGTTCGCTTTCCTCCCCCCACCTTCTTTCCAACGGGCTCTAAGCAGAGTCCATGGCTCCCTTCCTTCTCCCCGTGTTGTCCTCTCAGCAACCCTCTGAGGTAGGGCAAAGCCAGCGAGTGTTGCCGGATCAAGGTCATGCAGTCAACTGCTTGGCTGAAAGGGCGTTGCAACCCAGGTCTCCTGAGTTTGAGTTTGTGCCCCGTTTCCTTCTGGGGACAGGAAAGTATTGAACATGCTTCTCTTGTGGCGGCATCAGCAGTAGTACACACACAATCCCCTCTACAGATAGCCTTTTTCTGTACATATCTGGAGGGGGAAAGGCTGCCGAAAAGCTAGGATCCCACGATCCCACGTACACATCCAGTCTCATTACATGAAAGCTGCTGGTATCTTACGTGACCTCCAAAGCAATGTGCTTCCATATTGCACTGAAAGTCAAATGCAGAAAGCAGGTGTGCCATAGAGCAGTGGTCTCCAACGTTGTGTCTCCAGATGTTACTGGACTACAGCTCTCAGAAGCCTTCACCACCACCTCTGCTGGCCAGGATTTCTGGGAGTTGAAGTCCAAGAACATCTGGAGACCCAAGGTTGGGGACCACTGCCATACAGGAATGCTCAACTTGGCCACATTTGGAATGTTGTTTTTTTTTACTGAAGTCCAAAATAAGTAACTTTTCCCATCTCTGCATTTGACAACCATGGCGGCTTAAGTTTAGATCCCAGTTGGGCCCAAGTTTCAGTTGTCCTAGCCTACACTATGATGAGAAAGTGAAGAGTAGTATTTTGTATTCTATTCAGAGCTCCTATAATAATGGCTGGGAGGAGAAAGGAATAAATAGAGCACTAAATGGGTGACAGTTACTTCTTGTATTGGGAAACCAGCAATAATCTTTATTCTAGTCACAAGAATTCACTAGCCAGCTTTGGACTAGTAATTGTCTATCAGCCTAATGTATTCCCGTAGGTTACTGTGAGTAACAGGGAGGAGGATCATGTACTTCATTGCCGTTGTTTAGTCGTTAAGTTGCGTCCGACTCTTCATGACCCCATGGACCAGAGCATGCCAGACCCTCCTGTCTTCCACTGCCTCTTGGAGTTTGTCACATTCATGTTGGTCGCTTCGCTGACACTGTCCAACCATCTCATCCTTGGATGTCCCCTTCTCCTCTTGCCTTCACATTTTCCCAACATCAGGGTATTTTCCAGAGAGATTTATCTTCTCATGAGATGGCCAAAGTATTGAACCTCAGCTTCAGGATCTGTCCTTCCAGTGAGCACTCAGATTTGATTTCCTTTAGAATTGATAGGTTTGTTCTCCTTGCAGTCCAGGGGACTCTCAAGAGCCCCCTCCAGTACCACAATTCAAAAGCATCAATTCTTCGGCAGTCAGCCTTCTTTATGGTCCAGCTCTCCCTTCCATACATCGCTACTGGAAAAGCCATAGCTTTGACTATGCAGACCTTCGTCGGCAAGGTGATGTCTCTGCTTTTTAAGATTCTGTCTAGGTTTGTCATTGCTTTCCTCCCAAGAAGCAAGTGTCTTTTAATTTCAGGGCTGCTGTCATCATCTGCAGTGATCATGGAGCCCAAGAAAGTAAAATTTCTCACTGCCTCCATATCTTCACTTTCTGTTTGCCAGGAGGCGATGGGACCCATGGCCCTGATCTTAGTTTTTTTGATGTTGAGCTTCAGACCGTTTTTGTGCTCTCCTCTTTCACCCTCATTAAGAGGTTCTTTAATTCCTCCTCACTTTCTGCCATCAGAATGGTATCATTTGCATATCTGAGGCTGTTGATATTTCTTCCGGCAATCTTAATTCCAGTTTGGGATTCATCCAGTCCTGTCTTTCGCATGATGTATTCTGCATATAAGTTGAATAAGCAGGGGGACAATATACAGCCTTGTCATACTCCTTTCCCAATTTTAAACCAATCAGTTGTTCCATATCCAGTTCTAACTGTTGCTTCCTGTCCCACGTATCGGTTTCTCTTTTGTGATTACCAGCTTGTTCTCTTGAGAAAACTCTATTAGTCTTTGCCCTGCTTCGTTTTGAACTCCAAGGCCAAATTTACCTGTTGTTCCTTTTATCTCTTGACTCCCTTTAATCTCTTGACGCCCTTTTATCTCTTGACTCCCAGTCCCCTGTAATAAGAACATGTTTCTTTGGTGTCAGTTCTAGAAGGTGTTGTAAGACTTCATAGACTTATTTCAGCCATAGACAATTTCAGCCTCTTAAGCATTGGTGGTTGGTGCATAAACTTGGATTACTGTGATGTTAAAAGGTCTACCTCTGATTCGTATTGAAATCATACTATCATTTTTGAGGTTGTATCCCAGTACAGCTTTTCCCACTCTTTTGTTGACTATGAGGGCTACTCAATTTCTTTTAAAGGATTCTTGCCCACGATAGAAGATATGATAATAGTCTGAACTGAATTTGCCCATTCTCGTCCATTTTAGGATGTCAAAGTTGATTCTTGCCATCTCCTGTTTGACCACATCCAGCTTTCCAAGGTTCATAGATCTTACATTCCAGGTTCCTATGCAGTATTTTTCTTTGCAGCATCAGACTTTCCTTTCACTTCCAGGCGAGCATCCTTTCGGCTTTGGTCCAACCACTTCATTAGCTCTGGAGTTGCTTGTACTTGTCCTCCACTCTTCCTCAGTAGCATGTTGGACACTTCTAACCTGAGGGGATCATCTTCCAGCATCATATATTTTAGCCTTTTGTTTCTGTCCATGGAGTTTTCTTGGCAAAGATACTGGAGTGGCTTGCCAGTTCCTGCTCCAGGTGGATTGCGTTTAGTCAGAACTCTCCACTATGACCTGTCCGTCTTGTGTATCCCTGCACAGCATAGCCCATAGCTTCTTTGAATTACTCAAGCCCTTTTGCCACGACAGGGCAGCAAGCCATGAAGGGGATGCACACCATATTGGTAGGCTATTATGGTAATAATTAATAAAATAAATATTAAAATTAATCTCAGTGGGACATAACTTCTGAATGAACATACTTGGAATTGCACTGCATACGGTGCTTATGAATTCTGCGGCATCTTGCTGCAATACTCAGTTTGGGAAGACAGAGAGAGAGAAAGATCCAAAGGATCATTTGAAATGTGCAAAGTCACATGCACTCCTTTTTATCACATTGAGACAGGCATCAAAGTGGTGTCCTAATTTTGGCAAACGATTTGCTTCTCTAAGTCCCAGATATGTTTCTCTGTTGGATATTTCCAGCACCTTTCTTATATGACTGCATTGGGGGGGGTACCACAATTTTGAGTTACAGTGTTTCCCATGCCTGTATATAAACATGCCTCTTATATAATTTTTCTAGTGTTACAATTCAGTGTTTCTATAAACTTTCTTTTTTTAAAAAAAAGAAAGTTAGTGCTCTCTTTTTAAATATGCTAAAGAACTCTTCAAAATTTTAAAAAATGCTACCGTGTTTCACCGAAAATAAGACAGGGTCTTA